ATTTGGCAAAAATTTGTGACTGAATTGAAAGATTTTAAAACTTGGAGCTTGTTTTAAAGTTAAAGAAAATTCAGGGACCAAGCCCTGAATTTAACCTTGGAGTGTCGGCAGGCAATTGTTATATGCGTGATTTCTGTTTTGAAAAACAGAAATCAATTTCACAAATCCTTCCTCACGCACACAACTTCCAAACTCGATTCCGACGCAGTCTGAATTCCGATCGTTGTTTTGAAACCACCGTTGTGTTTATCATCGAGCGAGGAACAAACCCTTCAAATTAATTGAAGCGAAACGCGACCAAAAGTCGGGAATTTCCAGTCAAAGTAGCGACGGTTTTGTTAGCTCTATTGCCGAGAAAATCTTAAATTCACCGCTGATCGTTGCTCCGTTTACACCTCCCACCATCGTGTTCCTTGTGCCGTTCCGAGTCCACCGTGTTCCCCTTTTTCTCCGGCGGCGGCGGCGCGTGGGGAGGTGAACCGGTCAAACTTCCCGATTTGATGAATTCAAGCTCTCCGACGTTCAAAAATTTGAACCGAGCTTTGTAAGTATCTCGAAAACGCTCAAAATAATTTTTAGAAATTTTTCCGTAATTTTTAGAGCCCCGGAGGACACCTCACGCGCCACACGCGCCGCCGTAGGGCGAGTGAGTGACCGGTTCAACCGGTTTTCTTAAGGGTTTGACCGGTTTGATCGGTCACGACCCGACCCGTTTACCCGACCAGATCGTTGACCGGTGTTATTCTGGTAAATAATTCGGCTTCGGTGCTGTTCTGGTAAATAATTTGGTTTTGGTGCTATTCTGGTAAATAATTCAGTGTTGGTGCTATTCTGGTAAATAATTCGGTTTGGTGCTATGCTGGTAATTAATTCGAAATGGGTGCTATTTGGTAAATATTTTAAAAAGGGTGCTATTTGTGTAAATGTTCAATTTGACCAGAACTTTGACCAGCTTTGACCGGCAATTAAACGATCGTTAAGCTTTTCCGAGTATACCTATCCTGATAGTTTTCGACGTGCCGAATCCGTTTCCATGGTCCGTTTTGTCAAATTCAAACCCAAAGGTCTCCAAATCGACGGTCAAAGTGGTTAACTTTGACTTTGACCAAGAATTTGAATTTTCGAAAAGTCATACTTTATGTTTTTCGACGCCCTGATTCCGATTCCGCAATCCGTTTGGCCAAATTCAGACTCAAAATACCTCAAATTGATAGTCAAACCCGACAAATGCTTATATACTTAAGAAGTTTAGCTTTGAACAATTAAATAGGATTTGGGACTGATAAATATTATTGTTTGAAGGTACAAGAGACTCTCTGGATCGTTCGACAGCTCGACCCAGCTCTTCTAGATCAGTTAAACCACGTGTGCCAGTATTCACCCGTTCGAAAACTGTAGCAGAGCGTGGTGAAACTAGCAATCAGTAGATTTGCTATTTGAATCTATTGTCGAGGTGTGTTCCCTACTTATTACTGAACTATTTTATTGGTTTTAATATGTGGTACCGAATTCATTGGTTATTTTATGGATGCACCAATTTAATGTGACAATTTATGGAATATGGCTGCTATCTAATTTTTGTTTTGAAATGGTATATGATACCATGTTTTTGGATTTATGGAATTTATGTCACGGTGCAATTGAATTTTGGAATTGAATTACGATGGAGTAGCTCTGATCAAGCTAAATAGGCCTAATGTGACTCTTGAGGGCCCCAAGATGTTTCATTAGGTCGGCTTTCCTTTGCTGTGTGCTTAGGGTAAGCTATATGGACTTATGACTTGGGCTTAAGATACACGCTTTAGAGCCTATCCTTAAGTCGGCTTTCTTTTGCTATGTGCATAAAGTAACTATATGGAAATTTTGGGAACTACTGATGGTGTACCAGAAAATGGTTTAAACTATGATTTTCAAAAGTTAAACTTTTTTACGAATTTTGAGATTACTGGACTATGATTGTACCTATTGACATTTTATGGAAATGTGGGACACACTGAGCCTAGCTCACCTTTTGAAAATGTTTTCCCCCTTTCAGATACTGTTGGTTAGATACCTCGGTTCGAGCACTTGGAGAATCAACATATCTCTTGAAGTAAATCAGATTGTAATGTTTTTATCTTGCAAGTTGACTTTATTTTGGTGACATGGACCTTATTTTAAATATCGGATTTTATAAATGACTCTTTTTTCTATTACTGCTCGGTTTATTGTGATTGAATTTGAAGACATGTTTTAAATTATTATATTATTGGTACTATATTTACGAGTTGGATTTTAATAGTATAATTTGTTTATAATTTCATGTTATTTATAATGTGATTTTATATTGATGGAATAACGATTTCGGAAAATGTCTTTAATAATCATAATGTGATCCACTAGACTTAGTCGAAACGCATAGGCCGGGTCTAGGGGGTTACAGGTGCACTAAGAGTGCATCGATGCATCAAGTGCATTCGATGTTTCAAAATAGCCAGAGTGCATCGATGCATGGCTGGTGCATCGATGCATCAAATGCATTCGATGTTTTCATAAAATCCTCAGTGCATCGGTGCATGGTATGTGCATCGATGCATGAAATGCATTCGATGTTCAATTTAATTCATGGTGCATCGATGCATGGATTGATGCATCGGTGCATCACTCTGAAAAATTGATTTTAGGCTTGATTTTGGTTCAAAATACTTTGTAAAAATTGTTTCAAAAATATATTAAGTATAAAACACAATTTTACACATTTAGTAAGGTTTGAAATTGATCTTAAAAGACTTGGAGTAATAATTTGATATTCGATTAATTGAATCAAATATACTTAGAAAATCATTTGTAAAATCTTAAAATTCATTTAAACTAATTTGTTATATCGAAACACAAAAATGTTTTCAACACTCACCTTGCCTAAAAGTTTCATATAAAATAATCCGATCTTAAAAGATATTTAATTTTAATGTTCAAGACTTAATTGAAAAGAAATTTAGATTTTGAAGGAATAATTTATAATTTCTTAAAGTTCAAAGCCACATCTATGTATTTCATTTTGAAGAAATGAGTTATAAATTTATAATTTCTTAAAGTTCAAAGCCACATCTATGTATTCCATCGACTATTACAGGTTACAAAATGGTCACTTGATTATTCATTATGTTCCAAACTTGTCATTTCCGTTAAAAAATTAACAGTCGTCTGATCTGAACGTTAACGTGCGGACTGAGATATGATAGTCGTTTGAGATTATGAGATCAGATTTTATCATATCTCAGTCAATATGTTAAAATCTAGCTTAGATTGCCTTTAATTTTTAACGAAAAATGACAAGTTTAAGACATAATGAATAGTCAGGTGACCATTTTATAACTTTTAATAGTTGGGAGATTCAACAAAGTAACTCTCTGTAGTCGGTGGATCATTTTATAACTTTTTAATAGTCATATAACTCAATAAAGTAGTATCCTATAGTCAAGAGACAATTTGTATACTTTACCCTAAAAAAGAATGCTACTATTCAAAATTAAATATAAAGAGTATATTTGGCTTACAAGTCAAATAGCTCATTTTTGTTCTTTCATATTCTTTTAGACTATAAGTTCTAGACCCAGTAGGAGCATCCACTAGGAGCAAATATATTTGGGAAACTATATTAAAATTAAGATTTGTCAATAAAAATATAAAATACATTAGAACTTATAAAATGTAACAAAATGAAAACAATATTTATTGAAATGAAAATATGGACTTATTGTGTGCTTGATCCAATGAATATAGGTAATAAGATTTTGTTGATGAAAGAATGGGACGCATTTGGGTGCTTAAGATTATGCAATGATTTGATTTGGACGCATTTTGATCCAATGAAAATAGGTAATGTAATTGTCCCATTTCTCATTATTACTTTTTTTAATTGATTGTGAAATGCACTTGTTATCTACCATGTCTTCCTTGCTTACACCTCTTTGCAACTTTTCTGGTTTCTCTCTAAGCTTGGAAATCTTTATATTTATTAGGGTAAACTGTCTATTTGGTGACTCAAATATTGCTTACTTTCTGTTTTGATCACCGAGCTATTATTTTTTAAAAGGTATAACGTCAAAAGTAGCCTCCAACGTTTATCATAATGATAATTTTGTCCCCTATTTTTTTGGAGCATTTTGGCCCCCCAACGTTTCACTTTAGGGTAAAAACTCACTCTATAGATGAAAATCATTAGTTAACACACGATTAATCCAAAATAGGAGCCTTTTTAACCTAAAATAAAATATTGAGGGCTAAAATACAAAAAAATAAGGGATAAAATGATTATTCTATCAAATGTTAGAGGCCTTTTTGCCTTAAAATGAAACATTTGGAGCCAAAATGTTCTAAAAAATAAATAGGGGTGAAATGATCATTTTGTAAATGTGGGGGGGGGCTAATTTTGGCATTATGCCTTTTTAATAACCATACCTAATGTTACATATATTTTAGTTATGTTTTGGTCAAGTGTCGTTAATAAATTAACGTTGACACTGACGTGGTACTTTTTATTTTTTAATACTGACATGACATTATTCCATGGTAATACACATGCATCATCATTAATTTTTTAATAGTAGGTGACCAAAATAAAACCAAAATATAATGTTAGACATAATTTAAAAAAATAATCGGGTGATCAAAATAGAAACTAAATAATAGGTGGGGACCAAATAATTAGTTTACCTTATTTATTATCATCTTTCACCTTCAACATGGTTTTATTTTTCCTACCTTTTTCTTCTCAAGATAGCAAAGAAAGTTAAACTTTAGATCAAATTTTATAAAAGTTCCCCAATTTTTCATTAATTCATTTATTATAATCTGATTATTTTGAATTTGTTTTTAAAAAATATTTATTGTTAATCTTGAGGTCAACATTTTTTATTAACTCTATTAAATAATATGATATAACTTATTTGTTATAAAATGAGCTGATGGGTATATACACATTGATGCATTGCTCATGAACGGTTCACTATTTGATGCTAAGCTAATGAAATCAATGTTGCAAACGATCAGTATAATCTCATCAGATGCAAGTCAAAACAAGGTAAAAAAAAATCCTGAAATCCGAATCGAAACTCGAAAATAATACGGAAACATAGCAATGAAACTAAATATACAACAAAATAATCTAACCTCAGTGCTCCATTCCTCCCCCTGTGATGACTAGACCAGGGCTTCAGCTATTCTATTCGTGCTTCTTTACAGATTCCACAGAGGTCGGACCTTCTCCTGCTGACTGGTTCACACTAGCTTTTGCATAAGTGAGAAACTTCAGGTCTGGCTCGTGCTTATCGGTAGGTTCCTTCATTGCCATATAAATATAGAACACGATAACTATATTGACAGATATCACAGCAACGAACCCGCTCACCAGTGTCATAGCATGAGGAAATAAATTCATCACACCTGTTCCAAACAAATTAGCTTCTTGTTCAATCAACTTGATTCTATAGCATACAAGATCAAATATTCCATCGAACTTGGTTATTTGCTTCCACAATTCAATGCTGTTGCAGCAATAAGGACTAATATTATGGTGATTCTGAATGCAATGGCATGGTAAAACAGAATTAGAGCTAATTGTATGGTTAACTACATCAACTGAATAGCCGTCTTCAGAATGTGGGGGAATGGAATGGATGGATGAACTACAAGAGATAAGCATATGGGTTTAGTGCCTGTATGCATTTACATTGTTCAGTTCAACTACGAGCTCGAATGTTTCGATACCATAGGGGTGACTCTTTCACCTATATGCCCACCGATACATCAGCACCGATCACCAGTTCGGTCATGTTTTCGCAAAAGCTCATAATAAAGAGAGATTATTCATGACTAGATAAGAAAAAAACACACACGCACACAAAGATGAAAAGATTCAAGCAACCTAGCATGGTATATATCAGTAAGAATAACATAAAACCATAAACTAACAATTCTTTTTCTACATTAAAAGAAAGAAAAAAATCAGCTTGGGTCTTACCAGGAAGTAAATTATGGTTAAAAGCACAGAGAATTGCAAGAGGAGCTATCCACATTAACATTGATGCAATAAAGAATTTCTTAGTTAGTCCAGCAGCCATTTTGAATCCCTTAATCTAGAAATGAAAAACAGGTAAAATTAATTAAAAATAAAAATAAAAGCTAATTAGATTATCACTGATATTGAGAAACTGGAAAACACCCAGAATAGAATGAAATTCGTTCATACAGGTTGCTGGGAAAGCATCAATAAATCTATTGGGAAATACTCAAAGAAGAACAAGACCACACAAAGGACCATTAAAATCATCAAAATTTTAAGGCTAACTTATGGTTTGTAAATATTTTTTTATTCCATCTCTTCTGCAAAACATCAAACAGGTAATCGGCAAGGTCCAACGTACAGCTTAGGAAACAATAACATGAAGACAGAGAAGAACAAAACAGGGCTGATGTATGAGAGATAAAATTGTTGAATACCCAGTTTGAATTTCACGCTTGAGAATCAATTACAACATACATTTATTTTACATAATAAATGGCAAGTGTCAAGTAGCATTTTCAGATCAAAACTTGAAAAAGTTATGATTTTGAAGGTAAAAAAAGAAAATTTCATCGAAGATTGCCTGTTTAGTTGTCTGACCAACAAGGGATCTGCACAGTTCTGAAATTAACAGTAAACAGCTTCCCAAACAGCTTCCCAAAATCGATCAAGTCCCAACACAAAACACCACCTCCCAAACAAAATAAATGAAAAAAGATATAGAAAAGCAAAGGAAAATATACAAAAGATTGGTAAATTTATAGCTTCTCATGAAATAAGAATATCAACGTGAGCGTGCCGGAGTGGTTATCGGGCATGACTAGAAATCATGTGGGCTCTGCCCGCGCAGGTTCGAATCCTGCCGCTCACGCTTTTTCTTAATTAGAAGTCTCATAACAATTTTTATATTGTCTTGAATTGTATTTTAGTTTTCTTTATTGAAAAATAGATAAATTAAGAATAAAATTTTGTTAATATTTTATTCATTTGTCTCTTAACTATTAATGTGAAAATTATATAAAAAGGTAAAAAAAAATTAAATCCTCAACCTTTAGAGTTCTTGTCAATCTAGTCCTTAATCATTAAAAATACACAAAAATTATAAAAATATGTTGAATGGACAAAATGGATTGTAGTGCTATAGGCAGTTCACCCCTACTAATTTGGACATAAAGTTACAGTTGGTAATTAATTGAACGTTAATCAATGTCGAAGTGATATGTCTCTATAAGGAGGAAGGACAAGGAAAATAAAGGTGAGGTTATTTCACTTAGGTCGTGTCTTGTTTCTCTGTCTTGGTTTAGAGGTTTTTTATTGATCATTAGTACGAGTGTCAGTCATAGGATCATAATAGATACTCGTAGGTTAGTAGTCTAAGTGGATATGGTCAGGTGAAAGTAGATTTGACTTTGATAGATCATGTAGACTTGTCAGATGTCACATCAATTAATCATTTCTTTTCAAGGAATGTTATATATTCGAGGTTCTTCTTCTAGAGATGGTCACTCTATGTCTGCTGGAGTTCCTTAGTGTCAGATGGTCTGAGATGCTTTAGGGTCATCGAGTGGTTTTAAGGTGTGAGAATAGTATCTGCGAAGGATCTTTTGTAGGGTACAATATTTTCCTCCCTTAGTTGATGGAATGTTATATAATGGATCGACTCGAGACTCCCATAAGAAAGCATTTATTACATTTATGGAGGAGCTTTTCGGGAATCAATATGATGATTTATTTTAAGTGACTACACACTCATATGTTTATATATGTATATATAACAAAGGGTTCTTGACGCTCTTATGAGATAAAGAGGAAATTGCAACGGAGGCATCTCTAAGTTAAGTATGTTACGTGGATCTTGATATTGTTGAAGATGCAATAGAGAAAATAACAACATGTTGACGCGATTATGGGAAATGAATAAATTCTTGTAATCGTAGCGGAGGCATCTATACTCTCTTAGAATAGTTTCTATGCCATATATCATTGTAGGATTATAAACACTTGAATGAGATGCTTAAGCAATAGTAACGTCTTGATGCTTTACAAAGGTTAAGGATTATAGAGTTAGCAGAGGCATCTCAACTCTGTTAAACCAGTAGAGAGATTGTTGAAGTGAAAATGAGACCTTCAACAAGAGAGGAAGTTATTTGATTGACGAATTGAGATGTAACACCCATTTCCCGTATACATTTTCGTACACGAGTCACAGATGTCACATGACTTTTGAAACATTTTCAGTACTTGAAAATCAATAAAAATTTCGTTTTATTTAGATAAAACAATTTAATAATATAATTTATAAGACATTCTTATATTATATATATATTAAACAAGTCTACTCCAATTAGTAATACTAGTTCATATTATCCATATTTAAAATCAGCATAAGATAATTCAGTTAATCTATTACAAACTAGTTTCCAAAAATATTTAAATAGAGCTAATAGGACATTCATAAGTAATTGCCATTAAACTAAGTCAAAATTTCATCATAGGCTGTCTTATTGATATTGTAGTATATTCCTTGATGCTTGGAGTTGCTCTGTACTCTACTTCTAATCCTGGCTTTTACCTACATGTGAAAATTAATCACACGCTAAGTAGTATACACTTAGTGACACATAATAATAATGAAGTGAAATCAAAACATAAGTATATCATAAATATCAAAATACGAATTAACTCATATAAATCATAATAATACATAAAGTTGGCTTGGTAAACCAAGTTTCTTCCACATAACCTACGAAACCATATTTAGTATGTCCAACATACTTATCAATAAGTATTTATCTAACTTATTCTTTTATTTTCCTAATATATGTTGAATGAGAATGCATGATACATGAATTTGCACCTAAGTATTAATATGAAAATTCACAAACTCATTTTGAAATCCTTGGGGTGCACATATAGTGCCGATACAGTCATTCACAAACTCATTGTGAATTTCGTAGGTTGCACACATAGTGCCAATACGGAAATTCATAAACTCATTATGAATTTCGTGGGTTGCACACTTAATGCCGATATGGTCGTTCATACACATATTATGAATTTTGTGGGTTGCACACTTAGTGCCGACACGGTCGTTCATAAACATATTATGAATTCCGTGGGTTGCACACTTAGTGTCGATATGGTCATTCATAAACATATTATGAATTCTATGGGTTGCACACTTAGTGCCGATACAGTCGTTCATAAATTCATTATGAATTCTGTGGGTTGCACATATAGTATCGAAACGGTCATTCATAAACTCATTATGAATTCCGTGGGTTGTACACTTAGTGCCGATACGGTCGTTCATAAACATATTATGAATTCCATGGGTTGCACACTTAGTGTCGATATAATCGTTCATAAACTCATTATGAATTACGTGGGTTGCACACTTAGTGCTGATACAGTCGTTCATAAACATATTATGAATTTTGTGGGTTGCACACTTAGTGTCGATACAGTCGTTGATAAATGTATTATGAATTCTGTGGGTTGAACACTTAGTTCTGGTACGGTCGTTGATAAACATATTACGAATCCCGTGGGTTGCACACTTAGTGCCGATACGGTCGTTCATAAACTCATTATGAATTTCGTGGAGGGTTGCACACTTAGTGCCGATTCATAAACATATTATGAATTATGTGGGTTGCACACTTAGTGCCAATAGTATACATAGTACTAATATAACAATGCAACATATGCATTTAACCAAATACAACTATAACTCGTAATGTACATATTAAATACACTCACCTAGTATTCTTCACTAGTATGTAGCAATGATGTCTGACTATTCAACAACTTTATCCTTGCCCTTTTTCTTGCTTGACTCTAGAGCTTGGTTATGATCTACACAATCATCCATTATTACCAATATCATACAAATGTTAGTATACTCTCTAAAATTTATACTTGAATAATACTTAAAAGTACAATTATATTCAATTTCTATTAAAATTTATCCTATCTAAAACATTTCAGAATAGTATCGGTACCCCTAGTATCGATACCATTTCTACATTCTGGAATCCAGGTATCGATACCTTCCTATTAGTATCGATACCCACATCAGTATCGATACTAATTGCATCAGTATCGATACTGTTCAACCCATTTCCCCAAATTTAAACCTATGGTATCTATACTATTCTTTCAGTACCAATACTCTTACCCAGATTTTCCAATTTTCAACTCGATTTTTTGCACAAATTTCATTAAATTCTCTTACTTTTACCTCCAACAATACTATTAAACTCATCATTACTTAACTCAAATAACTTTCCTTCATTAATCTTCCTATAATATCCAAATTCTCTAAAGAACACTCCAAACCAAGAATCACACCACTTTTTCATACATGTTTTTAATCACATCCCATGCTTTTAATATCTTATTTACTTCTTTGACAAGTCAAATTTACTTGTAAACCTCAATAAAAACTTATATTTCAACATATTATTCAAAAACCCATTTTCTTCAATCTCTAATATTTCACTAATCACTTAGTTTTAATCATCCTTGAACTTTCCTTAAGCCTCTATATCTCTTAAGGTTTCAAAACTTTCCCATAAACTAATGAATAAACTAACTCAAAGAAAACTTACCTTGGTTATGGGGAGAGCACGGGCAACGGGGAAGAAGAAGAAGAAGAATACTAGCCTTTTAACTTTCCCCCCTTTTATCTCTTAAATTCCCTAATAAAAATGAATTTTAAATTCATTTTCCTCTAAAGGACCAAAATGCCCCTTTCATTTGTCTATTCTTACTAATTGGTCTTAATTAAATCGTTTCTTATACTTTACCATTTATTCAATTTAATCCTCCAAAATTTTAAATCTTTAATATAGTTACTGACTCGATATTTGGGGTATTACAATTCTCCCCTTAAGAAAATTCATCCTCGAATTTTAAGACTTTATGCTTTTACCAAAGAACTTCAACTAGAAACATCATCTTGATGTTCAATTGATTGTTGTTGTAGACAATTTCTACTAAAGGTAAATATTTTTCCCTTGATCCCTGGAAATCAATCACACATGCCCTTAGTATATCTTCTAATATATGTATAATACACTCTGACTAAACATCCCTCTGCGGATGAAAGATTGTACTGAAATTCAATCGTGTACTTAAAGCTTTATGCAAGAAATTCCAAAATCTTGAAGTAAATCTTGGTTTTCTTTTGGATATAATCGATATTGGCACTCCATGCAGCCGAACTATCTCTTGTATGCATAACTCATCATATTTATCCATCGAATAATATGTTCGTACCAAAATAAAGTGAGATGTCTTGGTTAATCTATCAATAATCACCCGTATTGAGTCTTTCTTGCTAGGTGTCAAAGGTAACCTTGTAACAAAGCCCATAGTGACTCATTTCCCCTTTCCATTCATGAATCAAGATTGATTAAAACAATCTGGAAGATACTTGATGTTCAACTTTCCTCTATTGGTACGTCATACACTTTGCCACAATTTCCGAAATGGCTCTTTTTAAACCAGGCCACCAAACCGACTCTTTAGAACTTGATACTTTTTGTTTCCACCTGAATGCATAGTCAATTGACTTAATACCCCAAAAAGAATATCTTTCTTTAAATCTTCATCGTCGGAAATACAAAGTCTCCCACGATAGTACAA